TATTTTCCTGTTAATATTTTGCCTGTTTTTTATTTAATCCATTACTGCTTGTATTAAAGTTTTCAACTCTAATTCTCTAACTGCCTATTTGCCTCCTAAATTCTACTAGTTTTTGCTTGGTGTATTTTGGGTTTCAGTTGTTAAAAGTATGTATGTTTACAACTTTTATGTCTTCCAGATTGATAGACTCTATCATCATTATGAAATGTCCCTCTCTATGTATAGTAATATTCTTTAAGTTTCTTTTGTCTAATTTTAATTAACCACATTAACTCCCTATTTGTGATTGTTTTAGTACATCTTCTTCTGTTATTTTACATTTAACCTATTTGTATATCTGAATACAAGGTAGGTCTCTAAACTGTGTAAAGTTGGATCATGGGATTTTTTTATTATTGGTTGATTTTTATCTATTATGTCAATCTATGCCTTTTGAAGTATCTAATCCATTTATATTTAGTTTAATTGTTAAGAAAATATAATTTATATCTGCCATTTTACTATTTGTGACATATATATTGTATCTCTTGTGTTCCTCTATTTCTTCACTACAGCTTTACTTGATGTTGAGTATTTTCTGTATACCATTTTAAATCTTTTTTTCTTTACCTATATTTCCAAATTTTTTTAAAAAGTTATTTTCTTAGTGGTAACACTGGGGATTAAAATTAGCAACTTAATCTAAACAATGTACTTAGATTATGCCAATATAATTTTAATAGCATAAAACTAATTTGCTCCAATATAGCTCCATTTCCTCCTCCTTTTTTGAATTACATCTATATACACTATGATCCGAATCTTCACATTTTTATAACTATTATTTTATGCAGTTGTTCTTTACGTCAGATAACAGAAGATAAAAATATTTATACTGTCTACTGTATTTACTCATGTAGTTACCTTTACTGGTGCTCTTTAATACTTTTGCATGGACTCAAGCTACTGTCTTCCTGATTCTACCCCTGCAATTGTAATTTGTTTGCTGTCTATTTTCTCACACTAGACTGATTTGTCATCATCAAACATTATTTATCTTAAGTTCTCTTAGAAGAGTGCTGAATAAAAAGCAGCAGAAAACTTTGTGATAAAAGCTAGAAAGAGAAAGGTCTTTCAAAGGCCTTGAAAAGCTGAACGATAGTTTCAGCCCAAAGTATCTATTACAGTCCATCCTCAGTACCTCACACCATACTGGAAACAGAGTATGTGCTTAATAAATAATTGTGAAATAAATTAACACAAGTTCACATGATGATTAAGATTTAGTGTTGAATTATATGACGAATCTGAAGTAGAAAAAAAATTGACAGAAAAATGAAAGGGCCAAGCAAGCTAAGAATAAGTTCTTTTAAAAAAATAAGCTTTAAAAAATAGTCTGTAGAATTTCTTGACATTCTACAGTCAAGAGTACTCTGAGTCAAATTGTAAGATAATTAATTAATTAATTAATTAAAAAAGAGAGAGAAAGAATTTAAGTAGTTGATTACAGCAAAACATTAGCCAATTCTTTTAACGAGGCTTAAACTTCTTGAGAAAGTCAGACAAGGGCACACAATTTGCTCACTAATAACCTTACACTTACTAATTCAACAGTACATAACAGATTTCAGGCATCTCTATAATTTTAGGCAAATAGGACAAGCTCTTCATTTGATGGCTCGCTTGATGTAGCCTATGGCACACACAACGCCTTACAACTTTGTTTATAGATACTAACAGTTGGAAATTGAGAGTTGCTCAAGCGGAATTCTACATAACCACCAATTTGGGATTTATTCACTTTATTGTGGCTGCTAAAGTGAGGGCAGCTGAACTTAGCATTTTCCATTTCAATCTGTTTTGTAAATGATTTTAGTTTCACAGCCCAAGCATTTTACTGCAAATCTTCCAAATCAGGTAGCTTGTACTAATCATGATAATTCATGAAAAGAATGTGAATTATTTCTGAATCTGTGATGCAATTTATTTTTAAAATTTATTTTAGAGTTTGGGAAATTTCAAACTTAGGCTTAAATGGTGGAAAATTAATTTCTTTGGATTTTGGCATCACCTATTCATTTAACAAACTTTTTAAAATACTTTATCTGACGGTACCACGTAAAGTTTATGGAAATGATGGTAACAAGACAGACATATTACAATCTTTAAAGTTGTAAAGGTATCTCAATATGTAAATAAATGAATAAGAAATTATAATCATCTATTTTATACAATATACACTAACTAGTAAAAATAAATAGGGAATAATCTTAACACTGAACATTCCCCAAGAAAATCTCCATCCAAATCTAAAATATCTTTTTTCTTACATGTTCATTAAATGCTTTTCTCCCTTCAAGAAATTTTTCTAACTCTAATCTATTTCTACAAACTTTTATCTGAGAAACTGGCCAATAGATTTCCTATGCCCTCTTTTGTTGAAACTTTCCCAGCACTTTCTCTTATTCTACTTACTTTTTTCTTATGAAAAAAGCTACTGGTATGTGCTGAGCAGGTGCTATTTGTAGGGATACAAAGAAGACAGACTATCTTTATATTAGTAGAGTAGAGAAGACAGACAAATAAGAAGCACTATACTGGTATTTCAAAATGCATTTAAAAAGTCACATACGCCAATTCAACACATGCATGTTATTTTAGAAACGTAAGTACAATTAGTTTAAAGGCCATTATTAAATAACATCTATTAAAATATTTTGTTTAATGAGCACTTTCTACATTTTAGGCACTTGAGTCAATTCATCTAAGCAAGCTGGTCCAACCCACCTTATTTTGTTGTTGTAGTTCTGTTTTGTTTTGTTTCAGGCTTTTAGCAGCCTGAAGCCATGGTTTTTAGTCTCTGTCTCTGGCAATAAGCAAAAAGAGGGATGAGGAAAGGGCCTTACTGGCCCAACGAGAAACAGAAACTAAGAAACCACAACTGTGTTCCCTCCCTTGGACACACCTGAATGCATGTTAATAAACCTATGAGAAAGATGCTATACAACCCCATTTTAAAGTGAAAAAAGGGAGTCACAGAAATTTAAGTCATGTATAAAATTCATGTAACTACTAAGTGGTGGAGTCAGGATTTAAATTCATGCAGTCTGGCCCTTGTGTTTTTGACTTCTTTATAGTGTATCATTCCAGATTATTCATCTCCAGCTTGTAGGAAACTCCCCGTTGCCCTGTGACCTGTAGTGTCTTTCTGTCAGAGAAGAATGCTTCCCCAATTCATGGTCAAGATCAACCACGTGACTTATTTTAGCCAATGAAAAGTGAGATGTAACGCCTGCTGGTTCATAAAAGACACTAAGAGAAAATACACTTTTCTTCCAGTTTTCTTTTTCTCTCAGTCTCAGAATGGCATGTCCCAAAAAGTGCCATTTCTTTAGGTTAGGTTCTGGAATGAGAAAACACATGGAGCCCAGTGCCCCAGCCACCCCTCCCCACTGACCTGTAATATGAGTGAAACAGAACTGTTGTTGTAAAACATATTTTTTAATAGAAGAATAATCTAACGAAACTTGACAGATATAGTGATAGGTATAGGTACTAAAAAGCAGGAAACTGCATTAACACACACCCTGAAATATAAGCACTAGCTTCATAGGCAGGTGGAGAGTGCTGAGAAAACTGTCACCAACATCTAGAAAATCACCACTCATGGTTTATAGTGGTCCACATTTGTTTTTACAGTTAAAAAAAAAATGATGGGAAACAAAATGTTAATAAATGTTGCTACTGGTTGCACTGATAAGGTCATAAAAATGACTTCTTTGTAAAAGTAGAAGAAAAGAGAAAATTTTGAAATTATAAGCCACATGGTGTTGAAAAATATGAGTGTTGCTCATATCCAATCAGTGACAGAGGATCTTCAAAAGTGCTTTGAATAACAAGGGTTGATTAAAAAAACAAACACACATCCTCCAAGACCAAATACAGTGTTTGTGAAATCTTTTTAATGAATTAAGATGACTCCAGTAAATCTTTTCAGTTGAATAAAATGTGTCAGAGAAAACGGACTAATGGGGCAGCTTTCCACAAGCCTGATTAAACTAATTATTGGCTGTAAGTTTAGAGAAGGAGAGAAATAGATCTAAAGAATTGTGGCATTTTAGGATACGTTTTACAAAACTTGAGAGACTGAGCCATATCCTTTGTCTCTATCTTACAAACCACTAAATGTGTTTATTGGTGATTTCTTTCTAATCATCAAAGTTTAACTTAAATATTACTTTGCCTGGATTAGATACCCTTTTAGAACATCTTGCTCTGATTCTCTGTGCTTACATTTAAAGGAATTTTCACCCTGCATCTGACTATGCCCTTCCTCTAGACTATGAATTACTCATGGCAAAAAGTAGAATTTTTAGCTTTTTCATGAGATATGTGTGTCCAAAGTTCACATTATAGATTTGAGGAATGAATAACTAAGTGAACGAATACAAACATTCACTGATAGAGCAAACAGAATCATCTAACAAAGTATTTGAGTAACCTCAAATCAGCATTGTATACAGTTTTAAAATTATACATTCTGCCTGCGATCTTCTAAAAAATAAGATCTTTCAAGTTGGAGATTTAACCCGTATGATCAAATGTATTAAATAAATCTGATTAAAAATATAACCTCTTAGACTTATAGTCTCAAAAATCTCTAAAGGAATTTTTATTTGCTACTTCTCATAGAAAGTAAAATTAATGTTATTCCTAGACAAAAGTCAATTAATCACAGACATTAAATTTTGTTTAAAATGTAAAGTACCAATCAGATTATAAAATAAATTTCCTAAATATTAATCTAAAAATGCTCAGACATATTTCTATGTTTACGTTCTCTTTATTTTAGAAGAACACACAATATAATACTTTTCTGAACATGTTATGTTGGTTCAATGCATTCTTAAATTTTGTTTATAAGTACATCCTAAAAAACACAGGTGAATTATTTGGAAGGAATAACAAATAACAAATTTTGTGTGGAGAAATAACACATGCAAATTATTTGAATTACATACCTGTCGACACCAGAGTTTACGAAATATTTGCAGATAAGCCAACACCATAAGACACAGTGGTGCCATGTATGTCACCAGAAAAAAACAGACATGGTACATCTTGGGATAAATTTCACCTGGGATGAAAGTCAAAACAACAAAACCTTACATTACAATTGATGGACTTTTAAAAAAGATACATGTCAATGCTTTTCTTCAAAGTACATATTTAGCTTTTATATGATTTCATTGTCATAGTATATATGCAAAGGAGAAAAAAATTCATAATATTCAACAACTTACCTTTACTCAGTATATGTGTACATTCTGAGTAAAGGTATATACACCTTTACTGAGTATACCAAATGTGAAGTCTTAATTTCACTTAATGTACTCAGAGAAATAACAATTAGCTATTTGTTAATTTCTGCTATCAAAAGTCAAGTGTTCAGTGATTAAAAGGTCTTTTATTTGACTTGATTTCATCTGGCTTATTAACAAAATTAATTTGGATTGTTGTAAACTTTCATGTACAAAATGGACATGACTCAATGAAAACCTAATAACTAATGCTTTCATTAAAATGGGAAGAAAATACAAACAATTGATTCTTCCTCATTAGAATGTAAGTTCCCTGAGAAATGGGAGACTACTCCCAGTTGTATCTCCAAATACAAATGTGAAAAAAATTCTGAAGACTAAATACGATAGAAATTTGACAATGATTCTTTTTGTGCACTTATTGGAACATATACAAAATTCTTCTTTAAGCATACTGCAGCGTGTGTGTGCTTTTATTAAAAATACATACATGTACTTTTAATAAAATGAGAATTTTAAGATTTTATAACATTAAACATAACATTAGTCCCTGAAATCCATTTTACCATTCTTATGCCTTTGTATCCTCCTACTTATGAGTGAGAACATAAGTTGTTTGGTTTTCCATCCCTGAATTATGGATGGATTCCAAATCTATCCAGGTTGCTGGGAATGCCATTATTTCTTTCCTTTTTCATGGCTGAGTAGTATTCCATGGTGTATACATACCACATTTTCTTTATTCACTCATTGATTGACAGGCATTTTGGCTGGTTCCATATTTTTGCATTTGTGAGTTATGCTGCTGTAAACATGCGTGTGCAAGTATCTTTTTAGTATAATGACTTATTTTCCTCTGGATAGATGCCCAGTAGTGAAATTGCTGGATCAAATGGTAGATCTATTTTTAATTCTTTAAGGAATCTCCACACTGTTTTCCATATTTGTTGTAGCAGCTTACATTTCCACCAGCAGTGTAAAAGTGCTCCCTTTACACCACACCCATCCCAACATCTATTATTATTATTATCATTTATTATGGCCATTCTTGTAAGACTATGACAGTATTGGCTGGGCATGGTGGCTCACACCTGTAATCCCAGCATTTTGAGAGGCTGAGTCAGGAGAATCCCTTGAACCTGGGAGGCAGAGGCTGCAGAGAGCTGAGATCACGCCACTGCACTCCAGCCTGGGCAATAGGGCAAGACTTTGTTTCAAAACAGAAAAAAAACAAAACAAACAAACAAAAAAAACCCAATAACGTGGTATTGCATTGTGGTTTTGATTTGCCCTTCCCTGATTATTAGCAATATTGAACATTTTTTCATATGTTTGTTGGCCATTTGTATATCTTCCTTTGAGAATTGTCTATTCATGTTCTTAGCCAACTTTTTGTTGGGATTGTTTGCATTTTTCTTCCTGATTTGTTTGAGTTTACTGTAGATTTTAGAAGATATTTTTGTACTAGTACTGGAATATATCAAAATGGTCTATCTACTTTTACTGCAATGTAAAAGAGGAAACAATATATCCTGCACAGATTTCATAGATGTTAAATGTAATAACTCATTATAATTCTAAGTGAATGCTAACACAATAGAGTCTGTTTTGTTTGTCTTCTAAAAATTATACACATTGACTTTTTCTATTGGCAAGGGGATTGTTCCCATACTGTTATTGAGGAATAATGCCGTTACCTCTATGCATTTTATTCTTTTCATTACTTCAGAATGAGGATGTAGAAGCATGAAAGCTTGGTTATGTGATCAAATTTGTGATAAGGGCAGTTTATAGTCAGGATTAATCAATAATAATAAGTAAAGTGTTTGTCATAATAATTATATTTATTGAGCAATCATGCATTTGATTCTTGCTGAATATATTTTAACATATTTAGGAGTTTCATATCCCTCACAATCTTATTTCCATAGCCTTGTCTTTCAGATGCGGTTGAGTTTGAGTCTAATGTTCTCCGTATTCATCGTTTTTTTGTTGTTCTGTTTTTTGTTTTGATACTCTATCTCTGAGGCTGGGGTGCAATGGTGCCATCTTGGCTCACTGCAACTTTGGTCTCCTGGGGTTTAAGTGATTCTCCTGCATCAGCCACCTGAGTAGCTGGAATTACAGGTGCAACCTACCACACCCATCTAATTTTTGTATTTTTCGTAGAGTCAGGGTTTCACCATGTTAGTCAAGCTGGTCTCGAACTCCTAACCTCGTGATCTACCTGCCTCAGGCTCCCAAAGTGCTTGGAATACAGGCGTGAGCCACCAGTATTCATCCTTCTAAACCCACATTCTCTTGGCTTAGATGTCTTTCTGCCCTGCAATATTCAGCAGGGACAGCAGCTGGGACTACAGGTACACACCACCATGCCCAGCTAATTTTTGTATTTTTAGCTCCTAGGTCTAAGAGACCAATTTGAAGTGTCATTTTTAGCTTCTCTCTGGCCCAGGTAGCATTCACCTACCTCATCAATTTCTAACTTTCTTTCAAGTTGACCCTGTAAAACAGGCCAGTTACATAAAAAGCAATAAAATTCAAGCATTCTGACTGGAGGAATAACAAACAGTCTTTCCCTTTGAAGTGCCACAGCCTACACAGCATTTGGTGGGCCAATTTCAAAGGAATCTGAAAGTGACCTCAGCACTTTCAGGCAACTAACAGGCTTTGAACTTTTATTTGTTTTGAAGAAGTATCACATGAGCTTTCTGCATTACAAAATCTATATAACTTTGAATCTTACGTATGTGTAAAGCCCTGATGTCTGCATAGAGGAAACTAGATTTGATAGTCAACTTTTTTTCATCTGCAGCTATGGACAGTATCACTGCGATAACAGGCGTTTTGAATAGATGGTAGCAAACGCTCCGTATGTGTTTAGTATATTTATGAATAATTAGAAAAACATGTAATTGAACTGCTAAATGCATATTATGATAATGAACACGGACATGGAAAAAAGTTGATCAAGCAAAATTATCCTTCCAGGGTATGATAGATTGTTTTAATAAGGAGATTACAATAGATAATTGGGGAGACATGATAGTCTTAAATTCCTCATTTCACACTTAGAGTCTACGCTGATTAAAAACCCAGAAATGCCATTGAAATTTTAAGTTTCGTGTGATGAAAATATCTTTGAAGTCTTTCTGCACTTGATAAGCAATGTCTTCAATGTGTTTAAAACATTCGTATATGACCTAGAATACAGCTACACAAAATTTGTTTCACAAAAGTATTACTTTAATATAAAAAAAAGTATTTTAAGTGTTGATAACCATTAAAAACTACTGTTTTTACTCAACTGATGAATAGGCACCATCTAAATAAATATTATATATATATGAAACTAACTAATAAAGAACAAATGTGGATCTTTAGTCTTTGAAATCAGAGATTAAAGAGTCGTATCACATATTTGACAGGCAAAACTTAATTTCTCTCAGATGAGTTAGGATCCATTATTCAACCAACATGTTATCTTAATTATCTAAAAACTACAAACATTCGTCTTTCATGGTACACTTGTCAGGAATTGAATGAACAAGTAAATTAAATATAATTTCCCAATATTCAATTTGGACTGTCTTTTCAAAGTTTAGGGGTTCATTAAGTTTACCTGAATCTTTAATATATTTTACTATTTTCTCTCTAATAAATGTGTTTAATAAATGTTCCCACTAATACACATATATACAGTATTTAACTGCTTTCAAACCTCAAATAGGCCAGATGCCATAATTACTATGACTAAAAAAAGGGGCTCCATTTTTTTTTAGCCCACCAAAGAACAATTTGTCATTAAGATTCAAAAAAAGAGATATTGCCATTCTCCAGTGACCAGAACAATGTTTGACTAACAGTACATAGTACATACTAATTAAACACTGGATGAATGAATAGTGAAGCAATTATAACTTTGAGGGCATAAAACGAGTTTTTGGTTTGTATGTATGTATGTATGTATGTATGTATGTATGTATGTATTTTTGAGACAGAATCTTGCTCTGTTACCCAGGCTGGAGTGCAGCAACGTGATCTCGGTTCAATGCAACCTCTTTCTCCCAGGTTCAAGCAATTCTCCTGTCTCCCTTTCCCAAGTAGCAGGGACTACAGGGACATACCACCATACCTGGCTAATTTTTGTATTTTTAGTAGAGACAAGGTTTCACCATGTTGGTCAGACTGGTCTTGAACTCCTGATCTCAGGTGATCTGCCTGCCTAGTCCTCCCAAAGTGCTGCGAATTACAGGCATAAGCCACCCCGCCTGGCCAAGAGTTTCTTTCTATAGGATCTTTTCTGTAGAACTATGAATTTACAAACCAAGTAATAAAGAAATTGTGGGTTAATTCTGGAACAATTTAAAAATTGTACAAGTATGAAACGGTATGACTGAGGCAAACACTGAACATACAAATGTATATTTTAAAAATTATTAAAATAAGTATTAAGATTCTTTATATGTTCTTGAGTTGTGTGTGTGTGTGCCAGAAATCATGGCTTATGGTTCTTTTTATGAAGAAGTAATAGGCAATAATGAATATAATTAGTTTTAGAAATAATTTATCCATACATAATTACATATTTATGGTAATTTTTTAGTTAGTTTTCAATTATTTTGCACCATATGTAAAATAGCATTTACAGAACTTTTCCAAAAGTTATTTGATAGATATGTATCAACTGACCAAATTGTTTTCTGAATTTTTTTCCACTGTAATATTGGTTGTAGGATATTTATGATATTACTCTCTATTTTATAACTATATTTTTGACTTAACGTAGAATAAAGATAAGAAACACAGATCATGAATTGATTTAAAATAATAGAAGATATTTTACAATAGTTTTTTAAATTAGGCTAAATTACAGTTGGCCTTTAAAAATGTCTGAATTTAGAGAGCTAACACTATAAAACATACTTTCCTATGGTGTTTTTAAGTTGTGAAAATCACGTATATGCCAAGGTTTAACATTATAATTTGAACCTGTACTTATAAATAGTATATATGAACAATCATTTTACAGGCTATGTAAAAATCATAAATGTCTAATAAAAAAGAATAAAAATGTGCCTTGAATTATTTTATGTTTTTCTTAAAAACATGAGGTTATTAACAATTTCATTTAATATTTGAAAAACTAATCGTATAGCTTGTATTAAGTTGGATTTTGTGGATCATCAATTCAATCCAATATTTAATTTTAGACTTTATACACATTTAATTATGGGCTATTATAAAATCACCTTCAATTAGTTTTCTTAAATGATTTCTGAAGGCCGGGTTTATATTTTTATATCTTCAACAATTGTTTTCTTTTTTAATAAAAATATCCTTGCTAGAGTTGGGTAATAAAATACAAGTAGTAGAAATGAGTTTTATGTATTTATATTTATCACTCAGAGGTAATTTAAAAATCATTTACTTCTATTTACTTAATCATAATAACTGAACAGGATTCCATGGCATTGCAATCTTTTTGTTAATGAAGGTTACCATTACTTGATTATTCAGGGCAACATTAAAACAGAAAAGTTTACAAAAGCAGAAACTAATTGCCAGAATACTTTAGAGAAAATACTGCTGACATATACTGAAAAATATTTGTATATTTATCTAATTGCAATCTCTATAAAGAATTAAGATTTAAATGTACATATTTACTTCATAATCTTGAAAAAAAATATAATCTCTCTAGGACTAAATTTACTGTTGAATTTAAAACAAGATTCTGAGAAAGACCTTTTCAGGCTTTCTAAATATAAGTCAATGTAAAAGAATTGTGTAAGAGACATGTCACAGTCAGTCCCCAACCCATCTTCTTTCCAAACTCAATTATTTAGACTACCTGCACCTATGTTCCAGAAACTACAAGTTCTGACTTTCTTTCTTTCTTCTTCGTAACGTAGTACCCATGATGTGGGTTTTCTTGCTTTCTGGACATCCTTTTTCCTCTTCCAGTCTGGAGAACTCCTGCTTATCTTTAATGTTTTGCTGAAATGTTAGCAGCTCCTCTGTAAGCTTTTGTTCAAATGGACAAAGCTGAGTTTGTTCTCTCATTTCTGTTCCCAGCACTTTGTACATAACTATGTACAAATTCTGATTACCCTATAAAAATTTGTTTGTTGGCCTTTGAGCCTTACTATATAGAGTGTGCTCCCTTAAGCAGAGTCTGTTTCTCTCTAGGTGGACACAATGCCTGACATATAATAAGTTCTCAAGGTGTTATTTAAGCATTAATAAATGGTGCATGGGACACTTAATAAATATTCCTACCATTTTGGAAATTTCCATTTATTTTGTTTTTGTTGGTACAATTAATTGGGAAAAACTGAACATGATCCAGAGGAGAAACAAACAAACAAAAAAAAATGCAATGTTAAAAAGGAAAAGTAAATCCTAATAAAAGAGAGAGATTTGATATTTGGGGTGATAGATAAAACAAACTGTAAAATATTAGTTATTATAGGTCTTAGAATAGTGTGTAAAATAATCCCAGCCTCTCTTAAATATTATCTTGCTGTAGTATGCCTAATTCATCAGTGATTTACTTTTTTCCTTTCGGTGTTCTAGTACAAACACCAAGGTAGGAAGTAATAGAAATTCAAAGATTATAATATTTAAGTATATTACCCACAATTAATCCCTGGTGTGCACTGCTTGTTTTGATACATCTTTCTAAGAAACAAATTATTTTCTAATGTAAAAATTCCCTAAATGTGAGTCATTTTAGTATACTTACACAGAAGAGGTCAGGTTGTTTTTTTCAGATTTCATGTGATATATCTAAATTAGTGCATGCTATGCTAAAATGCAGGGTTATTTTATTTTCTGTCATTCTTTCCTATGCCCAGATTTGTGCTAGCATCAGGTATTGATAGAAGCGTTCTCATTGTTACACAAAAACCTTACTGATTTTACAAATTTTGAACCAAAGAAACATAAAGCCTTTAAATCTGATTGTATAAATTTCATATCATACACACCAGATGAGAAATCAGATTGATTCATAGTTACTATAATTCTTTTCTTTTTTTGAGATGAGTCTTGCTCTGTAGACCAAGCTGGAGTGCAGTGGCAGCGTGATCTCGGTTCACTGCAACCTCTGCCTCCCTGGACCTGATTCAAGCAATTCTCCTGCCTTAGCCTCCAGAGTAGCTGGGATTACAGGCAGGTGCCACCATGTCCAGGTAATCTTTGTGTTTTTAGTAGAGATGGGATTTCACCATGTTGGCCAGGCTGGTCTTGAACTCCTGACCTTGTGATCCACCTGCCTCAGCCTCCCAAAGTGCAGGGATTATAGGTATGAACCACCATACCTGGCCCTCGTAATTCTTAAATTAGATAATAATTATCCTAGCAACAAAACTCACCAATTGAATATATTTTGAATAGAGAAAACAAACTTGGATAATTTGACTTAGAGAACCACATACTGACTCTGGTCATATTCTCAGGACCATGTGAACAAGGACATGCTCTTAAAATGAAAAAATCCAGTGATATTTGAAGCCCATTAGGGACCCTGACACTTTAGACAATACAGGATTGCACCATCTTATAAAACTCGGATCATTCCAGAATACATAATTGGATTTGTATTCCATATTGCTCTTTGTTTTAAGGAGTTTATGAAAAACTAAAACAACCAAATCTGAATTGTAGAATAATCTCCTTTCATTTCCTATCTGAAAGATATGAAAATGAGAAAACAGTAGGTAACATTTCCAAAGGATTCAGATAGGTAGAGTTATTCTGTGAAATTGTTTCAAAATTCAAGTTTGTTTTGATGCTCTTGCAAAACTGTATTCACAAATGCTAACAGGATATATAAGCCTAGCTTTACAATGGCTATGCTAATCCAATTTTCAATTTGCTACTGTAATAGAAATGCCAGTTCATGCATCATATGGTACTTACCACCCCAGCGCTCATCACACACTGTAAAGAGGGTGGTTTTATTGGCTAAGCCTGGGAGCATGGTGCTGCACTCCATGACGACGGCCTGAGGAATCATTATAATGCAGGATACAACCCAGATGATGACTATGCTGTTACGTGCCCGCTTTGCTGTGCTCTTAAACATCAAAGGGTGACAGATTGCATACCACCGATCCAAGGCGATACAGCTCAGTGTGAGGACAGACACAGACACCGACACAGTCTAGGGAAAAGAAACATCATAGTAATAGAGAAGCACCAGCTGTTAAAAGAATTACCCTTAATATATTTACTAAACAAGAAAGGTAGTCACAATATATAAGCAAATCCAAAGTTGCCAAAAAAATCCATGCAAGTGCTTTCTACTTAAAAAGAAATCATATCAAAAAGAAAAATGAAATATTAGAAATATATTTTTAAATGCGTATTTATTGTTAAACATGAAAAGGTATGATGAAAACTTTTTAAGTTTTTTTTTAAATTCCAAATGGCTTAGTTTATAATATGGCATTCTTTAAATAATGGCTGCAATTATTTTGCCCTGTAACTTTTCCACTGATTGGAATAAACCATATACTCACACAGAAGAAAATAAAACACATACGTTTATTCCAAACTGGAAAAGCTTCACTTGTAAAGAATAACATCTTTCTTTTAAATTATCATATAGAAATTTGATTGAAATTATATTAACATTTTTAAATTATGGGTAGCTTATTTCATATTTCCAAATAATGAGGGCTATTTGTACATTAGTGTATTAGGAAAGTTATGAGTCATGTTAAAAGAGAACTCTGTATGTGGATCTCCTTACTACAGTTTGCTCACTGCTAGCCAAGGCAATGTGACTCCAAAAGCTAGACAGGTTCACCCAGTCAAAATTTTTAAATAATTTTTATAAAATTATAAAATTATTATAAAATTATTAATAAATTTTTTATATAATTAACAATGCCACAAATGATTCTTTAACTTGGCATTTTAAGGAAATAACAAAGAAACATGTTTAAAATACCTATATCCACGTGATTATTTGATGTAATTATGTTTAATGTGCTCTCCTATACTGGATGAAATACTGATTCTGATATCACTCTCAGAATCTCCCTATAAAAAGACTTCTAATTTCCTTTGTATTTTATTACAGATTGCTATTTATTTTCTTTGCAGCATGTATAAGGTAGTAGACTATTCTGCTTAATTTGCTTATTTATTGTCTGTTTCCTCTATTGGAACAAAGTTGTATGGTAGAAGGGACTGCTTTTTTTTTTTTTTTTTTTTTCCACAACTGTGTCCCCAGTATCTGATAGAACATTTGATGTGTATTATGCATTTAAGAAATATTTGGTTTTCAACTTGTATTTTAATTTCAGGGGTACATGTGCATGTTTGTGACATAGGTAAATGTCTGTTATGAAGGTTTGTTATACAGATTATTTCATCACCCAGGTATTAGGCCAAGTATCCAGAGGTTATGTTTCCTGTTCCTCTCCCTCCTCCCACCCTCTACCCTCTGAAAGGCCCCAGTGTGTGTTGTTCCTCTCTATGCGTCCATGTGTTCTCATAATTTAGTTCCTACTTACAAATAAGAACACGTGATTTTTGGTTTTCTGTTCCTGCATTAGTTGGCTAAGGATAACAGTGGCTCCATTCATGTTGCTGCAAAGACTATGACCCATTCTTTTTTATGGCTGCATAGTATTCCATGGTGTATATGTACCACATTATCTTTATCCAGTCTATCATTGATGGGCATTTAGGCCGATTCCATGTCTTTGTTATTGTGAATAGTGCTGCAATGAACTTATACTTGCATGTGTCTTTAAAACAAATATTTGTTAATCCATTAATAGAGTGGTGAGTTTTAACTGAAGAAGACAGTAGATGTGGTCCAGTCATCTTCCTCTATTTTTCTGTCCCGGTTATATTGATCTCATGATATGTAGAAAGGGCAAATATTTCTGTCTTTTACCTGAGGGCCTTTCTTGTTGATATGTTGATTAAAGGTACAAATGAGTGAAAGAGATCTAAGAGCCAGGGCAACAGTGCAGAAACTCTGTGGGCTAAGTGTCAGGATGACCCACCTATTCTCTCTCTCTGATCAGCTAGCTGCACACTATTGAGTCGCTCACTTTACACCTTTGGGCCTAGTGTGTGTGTGTGTGTGTGTGTGTGTGTGTTGTGTGTGTGTGTGTGTGTGTGTATGTGTGTGTGTCTGCTAAATGAAGGTAATCAACAGGATAAGATTCTTACCAACTCTGATTCTTTTGTTTCTCTATGGGAGAGGCCTCAGAGTATAGTTGGAATGAAGTCTGCAACCAGGTTTTCTGGGCATAAATCTCATCTGACATACTGAGTGTCCTTGGGCAGGTTACTTAACCTCTCTATTCCTCAGTTTTCTCATCTGTAAAATGTGGATGAATAATAGTGCCTAACCATGGAATTGTATGGACAGTTAGTTGAGATGTAAAGTGTCTACTCCAGGGCTGGCATATAAGTGGTGCTTGTTTGCTATTATTTATGATTATAATAACAATGATAATGATTATCATTCTTGAGCCTGAAATTCTATATTTTAACTGGAACAGACTGCTTTTCAGAGAAGAGTATTCATAGGAATTACAAGTAAAAGCCTAACCTTTGCTAAATTCTTGGTGACTAATTTCATTTTAAGTATAATTTTAAAGGGCTGGACTCTATGAGAATGGACTTAGGTTGATTGGTGACTCCTGAAAATTTCTTAGTACTACTTTAGAGTACTTTCAACTCTCTTTCTCAAGCCAATCTCACTTTATTCTATACAACCTCCAATCCTTCTTTGCAAACAAGCTAGGCACCAAGGGCCTCTCAATACCATTGCTAACCTGGGAATAGAACTATGGCTGTGTAGATTTGCACAGTCACCTCTTCATAGCTTCTGGGTCAGAGAGATATTTATCCTCTCTGGCAATTAGAAGTAGAAAGTATTCATCAAGGCTTAGTGATTTATAATCTATTAATCTAACCAACATGGACAAATGGGATAGATGCAGCATGGTTCTAACGTGAATGTCGTTTCTAGTATTTCCTAATGCCATTAGATAATAATAATCACTTTATATCAGTTTACTTAAAAGACTGACATCCAGTGCCAACAGTGACCCAGGGAGCAGTTCCCATTGTCACATAGCAAAGGGGGAAATATATGCTAGTGTGATTAATCAAATGGTAGAATGAACCAATCCATTGAATGAACCCTTGACAATCAGTGAGTTACTATTCATTGCTTGAACTTCTATATCTGCTTATGCATTTTACAAATTCATATACAATTATGTTCAATTTATAAGATTTTCTTGGAAGTGATATAAAATTGCATTTTATCAAAAGCAATTTGTAACTGAAAGTTTTGTTACTGCTTTTAACTTCTAAAAGTATACTTCTGGGTGTCTTTTCATGTGGTAATAGCTCAAGTCAGTGGAATAGTAAGTCATTCAAGAAATGAATGTAGTGTGGACTATGAATGTTGAAGTGGAGTGAGAGGGAACTTTCTTCTGCCTTCAGGTACTTGGCCTTTGACCTATACTATAGGCACCTTTTGCACAGGGTAATGCTTGGGGATTACTTTTAGTAGTGAAGTTCACTGTTTTATACTAGCAAATAGATATATTAAAGGGATCTTAAAGATTCACTATAAGGAAAAATGGAAATTTTACGAAATCACAGATTTGGGTGGTAAGCACTAATAGGCAGAAGGGTTCAAAGTATGACTGAGAGAAAGGGAGCTTGTCTGACCATCCACTGCCTACCTCTCACATCTCACTTGGCTTCTTTTTTTTTATGACATTTTCTGTGTACAGCTTCTTCTGCAGTTAAACAAACAAAGAAACAAAATCTGAAAAAGTAACCAATGCTGTTGTCATTGTTGGAAGAGAAGTAAAATAGATGATAATTATTCAGGAAATAGCCTAATATATGTTAATGATCTTAGAGTTAGACAATTATTAAAGACACAAAAGAGTCATTTTAATTATTCAGCTAAGATTTATAACATTTGTGAGATTTTTAAGTTTTTTGTGCATATGCCAATGTGTTACAGTATATCACTCATAAATCTAAAGGCTGTATTATATTTAGAAGAAAAAGAACATGTACACTATAGCAAATTAGTAAATGCCCAAATAATATAAAATGCAACCAAATAACCTTATAATGTGGCTGGGCATTATGTAACATGTTTTTAAATATTCAGTAAGACATAAATATCGTATCAGGAATATAAGTCATTAGTTTCAGAATATCACAACTAGGGAGAAAAACTGCTCAGATTTGTATGTTTATCGCCCATTGAAACTTTTCCTTGCATTTGGGAAACTTCTAAGAAAAATGGGGCAATAAATATCAAGAATTTGGAGATACTAGTTTTATCCATGCACCAGTCTCTTTGTGCATTTATACCTTTCTGTCAAGAAGTAACGTTGGAGGGGGTAACGAATAGATCTATGGATCTAGTCTTTTTCATCATGTGGTTACTCAGTGGTTTTTTTCCTTGATCTACAGAGAAGAGAGTAAGCTAAGGAATTGATTAGATGGGAAACTGTGTGCAGAGAGGCAGATGGAATCCTTCTAGAGATGATGATGTTACTTGGACTGTAGGAATTGTTAAGCAGTTCTGCTGTGTGAAAGAGGACTCTCAGTGATTTTAAGAGATATCCATGCCCTCCATTCCTCACTGGTACATTGCTTCCATTCTGTCCTCTAGTGCAAATACTCACAGGAAACTCTGAGATGCCTGCTCTACAAAAAGCTATCTCTGTGCATTTGCACATGACTGCACCTGCCACTGAGTGCTGCACTTCTCCCTTATCACTTCACTTCCCATCAGGGAATCTCTCATGTTCACAATTAAACATTGTGGGAAACCGCAGCTACCCCAAAACTTAAGAGAATCCTCAAGATATTATCCTGGGTATTTATTGAAACTGAGAGTAGTAAAAGGTTTTCTGGAAGTACCACAGAGATAATGAAATATTAGAATTCTCTGAAATGTATTATTTACCTAGTGCCTCTATGCAAAATACCACCATAGCCTTCATTTCTTCTATCCTCGTAGAAGAAAACTTAGTAAGAACTTTTATCCATGTATTATTGTCCTCATGCAAAAAAAAAAAAGTGCTACTGTTCATTTTATAATCCTGTAGTGATTTTTAGCAGCCTGACCCAAACTAACTTTATAATTAAACATAATATACATATGGAGCTTATAACTTCTATAGTATTTTCCACTTGCTATTCTATAAACGATGTTTGACCTTAAACAATGATAACTTCTTTTTATAAGAGGTAATCGAGGAGCTATTGAACGAAATATCCCTTTGCAACATTTCATTCCAAAAGCCTAATCAGTATAATGTCTAGTATTTGTGCCCCACCTACATTTTTGTTACTGGAAGGCTATTTTCTGTTTCCTTAAAATATTATAATCACCATCTGAGAGACTGCATGCAATAACAACTGAGGGTGCAGGAAGGCTATAGGAAGACAGGTAGACAGTGGTCACCATTTCACTCGCTGTCCAATTTCTAAGGGAAATCCATCCTTTAAGATGGATGTGTGAATGTGAGCATTATCTTATAAATCTTTTGTTTCAAAAACTTTAGAGCTAAAATAATAATCAGAACACTAATCTCTGAAAGTATTTGTTCTTAATTACTGATAAGGCAATTAAATAGAAAAAGAAGTTATTTTCACTCTTAAAGAAAGGAAAACATCTACTAATGATTCTGATGCTAATAATTGAGGTTTCTTGGGAACATACCATTTTAATAGGATCATCATCTTCCAAAGGGTATGCCAAGTTATTTATATTAATCATCTAAGTAAATGGTCACAACAACCATATGAGATAGATCTCATTAAAAATATTATCCTTTAAGTGAATCACAACTACTTGGCATGATAGCATACAAGTGGTGAATGGCAGAACGGAGATTCCAGTTCTGGTAGTTTGAATTAGAATCTACACTGAAGCCTGTTCATGGCACTGATTTGATCAAGTAAGACTTAATTTTTCGGCATAAAATAAAATCACTTGCAAAAACAAATATCATCAATGATTTGGACTAGAAGATCATTAGTTGGTTCAAAAGAAAGATCAATAATTGGGTTGGGGAGATCATTAATTGGTTAAATCATTAATTGGTTCAAGTTTCTTCTTTAACAATAGGGAAATAAGGAACCAACAAAGTAAAATGTGCAGCATCTAATGATGATTTGGCAGTTTGTTGCTTTATCTTTATCTGGAATTTAACTCATTTCCCCAAATATTCTCAAGTATTCCTTTCCTTCAGTTTGCCAATACCTTAGGCAAATGTATTTCTCTACTCACTAGTTAATGTATCATAAACGGCATGGCTATGACTAAACATTTAGTAGCTTCAAAAAGGCATGAAAAATAATTACCTGTAGATAAGGAATCACTTTGCAAAGGGACTGTCCAAAAAACCAGGTCTCAGTGATATCCACGACCAGTGTGGCTGGAAGGCAGGTGATGGTCACGAGCACATCAGCCAGAGAGAGATTGACTATGAAGTAGTTGGTTACTGTCCTCATGTGGTGGTTCTTCCACACTGCCACACAAACTAATTTGAAAAGAAAAAGGAACAATCACTCAACAAAGAAAATAGGTATTGGTAAGGAAAGACTGTCAAGCTAATTAACATTTCTATAAAGTTCACAAATATGTATTTAAAAGGAAAAATAACTGAAGGCTGTGCTGTGTTTTCACTGAATCGGTCAATCTGTGTGAATGCCAAATACATACTTAAAATCAGTTCATTTACCTTGCATGACATTGCTCAATAAATCACAAGACTGTATTTATTTTTACTTGATTTTGAATTGCGAGTATCAGAAGTTTTTAAATGGTCTTTAATTCATCTTTCTATTCCCTCAGTACTCAATATGTAGTAGCATCTCAAGAAATGGCTGCAGAGTTGAGATAAATTAGGAGCTAGCAATGTTCACTGAACTGTAGTGTTTGCCTTATCCATGACCTTGGCCCATGTCTACTCCTAAACCCTGCATTTGGAACTTTCAACAAATAGTGTTTTATTCATGGTAAGAGTCAACAATTATTCAGCTACTACCACTGCAAATACTGAGGTAGATGGTTCATATACCTACATTGTTTAATGCTGACAACAATCTTAAGGGACAATGATATTACCCACATTCTATAAAAGAGGAAGCTGAAGTCGGGCATGGTGTTTCACACCTGTAATCCCAGGACTTTGGGAGGCCAAGGCGGGTGGATCACGAGGTCAAGAGATTGAGACCATCCCGGCCAACATGGTGAAACCCCTTCTCTACTAAAAAAAAAAAAAAAAAATGCAAAACTTAGCTGGGTGTGGTGGTGTGTGCCTGTAGTCCCAGCTACTCGGGAGGCTGAGGCAGGAGAATCTCTTGAGCAGGGGAGAAGGAGGTTACAGTGAGCTGACATTGTGCCACTGCACTCTAGCCTGGCGACAGAAGACAGATTGAGACTCCCTTTCAAAAAAATAAAAAGGAAGCTGAGACACAGGAAACTTGTTTGAGGACATACAAGTTCACAAAATATAAAACTACAGCTATAACTCGGCTTTAGTTCCAACACTTGTGGTCTTTTCACCACATAGGTTGCCTTCTTTGGTGAAAATGAGAGTGTTGTAAAAAAGCACATATAAGTTCCAGACACTCAATTTTGTCTCCTTTCTGTCACCCTTAGGGCCTCTAAACAACACCCTGCAATCAAACATACTTTTCAATACTTTCATAGCTAGCCTCCCTCATTGCCTTGCAGTATAGCCCCAGTTCAAAAGTTGTGCTGTCTGATTCAGTTGCCCTTTGCTGAAAGAACATCCAGTTCCTCCATTCTTTGTCCTTGGTCTGATGTACATAAAAGTTATATATTTATTCACTGGCTCTGGAATGATATAGGTGTACACACTGACTTCATAGGTATTCATGGGTTTGCTTCACTGAATGTTATTGAATTTGTCTGGGGCATCACAAACCTATCAGGGCTGTCACTCGTGTACCCAAATAATGCAGAGATTAGTATCTTTATATAGTGAATAAATAAAACCTCATTTTCTTAAATTTAAATCAATGAATGAGGATTTCTTTTGATAATTATGTAACATTTATTAATAGTTTCATACTGCTGGAAGTTGTTCTTACTACTTCCTGAAGTTGAAGTTGGTTGTCAGCTACCAACAGATGTCAATTTAACAAAATACCTGTATTTTGGAGGATTTAATTTTGAAAACTATACATCATCCTCTAACTCTTGCATGTGATATCCAAAAACTCAGTTGAATCTTAATCAAGGTAACCACAGTCTTTATTATTTGAAAATGATGCCACTGAGTGATTTATTTTCTATAAACACTTGAAACAGACACAAATAAACATACACACACACACACACACACACACACACACACACATTCATACATGTACAAATCCATCCTAGCAGTTGACGAACACATTATCACAGTTTGTTATAAGAAAATTGGCAAAAATATTATATTTCTGGTACTTGGCCAACAAATTGTCCAAACAGTACAATCTCAGATCTAGAAAAATGCACAGGACTTTTAGAAAAAATGCAATTAGCCGGGCGCGGTGGCTCAAGCCTGTAATCCCAGCACTTTGGGAGGCCGAGACGGGTGGATCACAAGGTCAAGAGATTGAGACCATCCTGGTCAACATGGTGAAACCCCGTCTCTACTAAAAATACAAAAAATTAGCTGGGCATGGTGGCGCGTGCCTGTAATCCCAGCTACTCAGGAGGCTGAGGCAGGAGAATTGCCTGAACGCAGGAGGCAGGAGGTTGCGGTGAGCCGAGATCGCGCCATTGCACTCCAGCCTGAGTAACAAGAGCGAAACTCTGTCTCAAAAAAAAAAAAAAAAAAAAAAAAAAGAAAGAAAGAAAAAGAAAAAATGCAATTATTTCTAAACTTTCGACTCTGTATTTTGTACATGAGGAATGGTACTGGTGGGAAGACTTAATGCATTGTATCTAGACATCATTAGAGCAAGTATATGTTCCAAATCACTTCTTTAGTCATTACTATGTGCTGTGCCTTGTTCTTAGCATTTTGAATTATTAACTAGTGTTCATCATAATAACACAATAAAGTGAATAGTATTAATATCTATGTTTAACAGGTGGGAAAATAAGGAGAGAGAGGTTAAGGGGCCTACCGAAGAAAAAATTAAGTACTAGAGTAAGTAAAAGTAAAACTAAGTGCTAGATCTTGAATTTAAGTCTTACCCATCATGCTATGTCATCCATGTATCCTCTTAACTGAAGCAGAAATGAAAAGGAAGCTAGCAACCTCTATCAGACAGGGATTTAACCTAGGATCATACAATTTTTTACTTGGAGATTATTCAGTCTAACCTTCCATCTGAGGCATGGATAACCACCTCTGTACCATCTTTCATTCATCCTGCTTGAACATTTATAATACTGGGAAATTTAAACTTGCTGGAGCCTTTGAATTCATTTTGTGGTGGCTTTAACTACTAGCAAGTTCTTGCTCATGTTCTGTTTTCTCTTCGTTTCTACTTACTAGGTCCTAATTATTTATTGAAACTGAATGAATACGCTTTACCTATTTATTTACATTGTGCTGGTATTCATTTTCTAGGGCTGCTGTAACAAAGTACCATAAACAATGTACTGTGAGAAAATGAGTCTGTATTGTTTTAAAACAGGTGTCTTAAAACAATACAGACTTATTGTCTCACGGTTTTGGAGCTAGAAGTCGGAAATCAAGGTGTCAGCAGGGCTGTCCTGTCTCTGAACTCTGTAGTAGAACTCTTCTTTGTCTCTCCCTATTTTCTTGTGGGTTGCAGGCAATCTTTAGTGCTCTTTGGCCTACAGCAGTGTAACTCCAATTTCTGCCTTCGTCAGTGCATGACATTCTACTGTTTCTATCTTCACATGACCATCATCTTATAAGAATCCCAGTCATATTGGATTAAAGGCCCACCCTACTACAATATAACTTTACCATATCAAATTATATCTGCAATGACCCCATCTCCAAATCAGGTCACTTTCTGAGGTAAATAACTTTAGGACTTAATCGTATCTTTTTTTTTTTTTTTTGAGATGGAGTTTCGTTCTTGTTACCCAGGCTAGAGTGCAATGGTGCGATCTTGGCTCACCGCAACCTCCGCCTCCTGGGTTCAGGCAATTCTCCTGCCTCAGCCTCCTGAGTAGCTGGGATTACAGGCACGTGCCACCATGCCCAGCTAATTTTTTGTATTTTTAGTAGAGACGGGGTTTCACCATGTTGACCAGAATGGTCTCGATCTCTCGACCTTGTGATCCACCCGCCTCGGCCTCCCAAAGTGCTGGGATTACAGGCTTGAGCCACCGCGCCCGGCCAATCGTATCTTTTTGAAGAAACACAATTCAACTCATAAAGGTACTTAATCAAGTATTTAAAGACTACAGCTATGCCCACTTCCCTAGCCTAGGCTTCTCCAACTTCAAGATCTTCAGACTCCATCATGTGAAATGTTTGGATGTTTCATCCCCTCTGAACACACTTCAGATTATCAGTAACCATCATTTTCTATTTATATTATCTACAACTACCATCATTTCTCTAGGTGCAATCTACCCAGAACAACAACAAGAAGGATGATTGATTTGATTACTGTCACTCTATTAAGACAGTTTGAGATCTTGTAAGCTTTCTTAACAGCCAAGGCACACTTTTGGGGGAATACACACACACACACACACACACACACGCACACACACACGCACACACACACATGCATATATATGGAAATACATATAGACAGATAAACATTAGTTCCCTTGTATAAACACTAAATTATTTACCTTTCACTCCTAAGAAGAAATTAAAAGAAAAAACAAGATATTTATAAAGAAAGCTATTGGGACAATTGGATAAACATGAATTTTGAGTCTGTGTTAGATAATATTACTGTGTCATTTAAAAATATCTTTTTTTTTTTTTTTTTTTTTTTTGAGACGGAGTTTTGCTCTTGTTACCCAGGCTGGAGTGCAATGGCGCGATCTCGGCTCACTGCAACCTCCGCCTCCTGGGCTCAGGCAATTCTCCTGCCTCAGCCTCCTGAGTAGCTGGGATTACAGGCACATGCCACCATGCCCAGCTAATTTTTTGTATTTTTAGTAGAGACGGGGTTTCACCATGTTGACCAGGATGGTCTCGATCTCTTGACCTCGTGATCCACCCGCCTCGGCCTCCCAAAGTGCTAGGATTACAGGCTTGAGCCACCGAGCCCGGCCTAAAAATATCTTAATGGTTGTGTTCACATTATGCCTATTTAAATATTTGAAGACTGTGGCTTTGTCTATTTCCCAAGGCTTTGCTTTCCTGGGATAAACATCATCAAACCCTTCACATACAACAGTAGGCTTTTGCCTCTCATCACCCTGCTATCTATTGTGACCCCATTTCAGATTATCAGTGTCTGTATTTATTTTATTTATTTTTATTTTTATAGGTTTAGGGAATACAAGGGCAGTTTTGTTACATGAGTTCGTTGCATAGCAGTGAAGTCTGGCTTTTAGTGTAATCCTCACTCG